CGCAGTGGGGATCACGCAGCCCCTATCCTGGGAGGCGCGTAGAACCGACAGCACTCAAACGTTTTGTAATCTCTTTCATACTCCTCTGGTTAATGGTTGGCCACCCCTCTCCTATTCCTCCACTCTTTATTGGGCACGAAAAGCAGGATTCTCTTCGGCAAACCATGGTTTGGCATGCGCAGTACATAGCAAACGCAACCCGCGCCTTGCGGATTCGTGCATTGACCTCACCTGGCACACTGCAATCGTAATTAATACAACGTCCAATGTACGTGAAACGCTCCACAACTTCGAGTGTCTCCCCTGGATTGTAAGTGGCGTGTTCAGTGACTGCGTGTCCATGAGGATGACCTTACACTTTGTGGGTGCAAAGTGCATACCAAAACAGGGGGATTACTCTGGTCACTTCATTGAAAAACACCTATGCCTTCTCCTCTTGGAAGACGAGAACGGTATCATCTGTATATTCCAGGTCGACAAGGTTTTCGTCACATCATCATCATTACCAGCCCTCGCTTTTCAGCTGCTCTTGTCTAGACTTGGGTGTCGTTGTAGTAGCTGAGCCCCCAGGTTTCATTTGGTTGATATAGCAGCTAGGAGCTGACAGGGTGTTATAGCTAAACCATTTAAGATAGTGTCTGTAGCCTCTTTGCGCCCATCTTGAAAGAAAGCCACTCAGGCAACCTGTACGAGTTAATAACGGTGCCCATCTTCAACAAGGTTAGTTACATTGAAAATACTAATCACAGAAGCATCAAATTGACCTCCTTTGTAACTGTGCTGATTCTCCGTCTTACGACGGCACGCGAACTTCTGACCCGTGAGTATCAAGCGAGGTTTCGACAGGTAGATGCCGCATTGACCACATCTTCACAGTCCGTCTGTTGTCAGAGCAACGCCTTATTTGCAGGTGATATTTTTCGTGTGCTTTGACTTCAAGGGTGCGTTCGAGTCTGTTGACTGGTTTATGTTCTTAATCACACTTACTCAACAGAGGATGCTCCCGGATTTTGTGATCATAACCCGGTCCTCATATTCACATATTCCGGGGCGTGTGACAGTCTGCCATCTGGAAGGTCAGATTCGCGAAAGTCAAGCTTAGTTCCACTCTGACCGGGATCGAATCGATCACGTCTTCACCTTGCGGCAAGCTTTAGGACTGCCACCTCTCCGACGACAAATAATAATGATATTTGCGGGTCTCAAATCTGATTTTTACTACGTTCGTCCCCATGAACTGTGGCATTGTCCGGCGATAAAGGGTGTTCTCTCTAAATTAGTCTTTTAATAAGGTTTCATATGCGTCCTTTCATGGATGTGTACGTATCTACGGTCAGTCCTCCCTGAGTTTGTCCCATCCAGTAAAGTCGGGCAAGGATATTCTCCGCCCTTTCTCTTGAGCATCTTAGTCGAAATGCTGACTGAATTTCCACCTGCTCATCGGGTATCGAAATAGTGTGGGCTCGTTCGATCACGGACATTGAGTGCGTCAACAATTTAACTGTTCTTGGGTCAGACCCTTTGAAAATGTAAGTTATTTTAAATAAACCAAGCAGTTCCGCAGCACAGTTAGTATGCGCTTCACAGCTGTAAAGTGCTACAGCGAGATTGGGTGGGTTTAAACCCAAACCTCATGTTTGCAGGTTAACCAAATGACATTGCGGATAAGTTCGTTACCTGGACAGCTGCATAAATTCCGATGGTCCAATGAAAGGGAAGACAAGGGTAGTGTTTTCTAACCTCCATTTGTGGCGCCGAACTGACAGCTTCACTGTCAAGGGTAGAGTGTACAATGCTGCGCGGAGACGTGAATGCTGCTGCTGCATGCCGGAGACCTTCGAAATCCGTCTTTACATGACCATAGATGCCTCTGAGACAACCGGGGAGAGTCCGTGATAGAGTCCATTTTCTCAAAAGGAGCTCGTAGTGAGTGCGGTAGGTACAGGGGGATCAGCTTGATGCCGGTCGTAACCATGTGCTTGGCGTCACTTTTTCGTCGCTTTCAGGTGGCTCGTAAAACATTGACTCTAGGGCAGCAAGTGAGGTTTCTGTCTGGTGGATGTATTCGACAAAATCTTCACATTCCGTCAGGTGGTAGGACATCAGTGTTGAACACTGGTGTTATGCTGTCGATGATGATGATGACGGTGGTGGTGGTGGTAAGTGCCCCCGAAGCATTGTGCGATTATGGTGGGAACGCTAGATCAGCAATGTTGGAGTACGTCAGGTCGTTTTGGGGAAAGTTCATTCTCCGATGTATCAGCTGGTTACGCTCCACAATTTACACTGCTTACGCCATAGGCTTCATATATCGGAGGACCATTTGCCTCGTTAATCCCTCTGCGTCTAATCTTGTGTTGGATGAAGACGACTTAGGGACAGTCAGTTCACGACCTGATGAAGTAACATGAATGCATTTATCACTCAATTTAGTGGTGTTGGTAAATGTCGTGTTCCCGGATGGTTATCACGGGACGAGACAAACCACTGGTTAGTTACCCTGACAGATATGGCTGTGTCCTTAATGACGAAGCCAAAGCAACTGGAAACACTGCATCTGGATGCACAGATTGTGAGCTGAAAGACTGAACCGAACTGAAGTTAACGCTATCCGCGCAGATGCTCCTTTTCACCTGACGTCAGGCAGTTCGTCGAGTTTTATCCTATTGTCGATCGANGTCAGGCAGTTCGTCGAGTTTTATCCTATTGTCGACCAGCAAGAATATATGTCCGAGCTTCTGGAGATCCGGTACTTAGATGTCGTTTGTTCTGGCGTCCCATAAGAAGAGCGCCAGGAATCTTGCAGTGTTGCGGACAGCACTTTAGTAGGAGTCAGTATCAGGAGATGCGCTGTTCCGGAAGGACTTCGGTTGATCGTTTTGTTTCACATTAGGATCTGAGAGCCTTGCAAAAGCAGGAAGAGGTGTGTGCATTATGTTCGCCCCCGAAAAACGTAGAGGAGCAGCAACGGACGAGTGCACGGTCAGTCTCCACATTGGTGTTCCGCAACGAACGACAATCAGTAGTTGATCTTCGCCACTATAACTAGTGGCGATGTGGTCTGTCTGTGTTTGGGTTTGGATCGAATGTCGAATGCGCCATGTAGCCAAGGAGCTTCGGTTGTTTCAGGAGTTGGTAGTGCACAGAAGTAGCCCGTGTTTAGTACATAACTGCAATACGCGTTCACCATTGTCCGTCCATCTCGATTCCAGTCTATAAGGAGCACTCAACTGAGCCTTGGCAGCTTTAAGTCTACGTACTTCCACATTCATATCTCCGGCAATCGCAACGATATCCGAGCTCTTAGCCGGCCGTTACTGAGTATCCACAGTGACTAAAAACTTTCTTTGAGAGTAACAAAGCTACAGTCTGTTGGGGCGTAAAAAATACACTGAACAGACAGTGATTATTGGTGTGTTTACGGAATGCTGTTGCTAACAGTAAACTTGCTAATTGGTAAGCAGAGCCAATTTGCATCATCAGTAGGAGTGGCAGAATACTGGCCTGGTAAAGTTTTAGGGTTCACGATTCTACCAATTTTGTAGTCAGTGAGTCTGGGGTAGCTCTTTGGTCATCTACCAAATCCTAGTAACTCCTAGTGCTGACGCCTAGATGTGTCTATTTGGCTTTTGTTCGAAGGTGCTGGCATCTTCATTCCTGTGATGAAATCAGGTGATGTGACGGTTCAAAAGTGGTCTCAGAGGCTGATTACTATGGGAGAGTTTCATATCATAGGTAATTTCGTTTTTCATCCAGCCCGTGGAGCTTCACTAAAATTCTACATCAGCTTCCTGTTGGACAAAGTTCGAGGCCTCGTTTAATCATCGTTGAATAGGCAATATAGGCTATACTTGGTAAGTTTCAGTGCAATCAAAAGGCACCTTCCATAGCTTGTGGCGAGCCATCTTAAAAGGAAAGAAGGAAAGCGTCCAGCCGTAGCACCCTTTCGGTGCCTAGCTGCCATGCCACCCGAAGGAAGCACGAGGGCTGGGATACTGCCAGGTCGCCCAAGCGTGGACAGGGGAAGTCGAGTAGCGGAGGTCGGATTCGAACCATGAACCTTCCGGTCAGTAAATTCGCGCTCTAACCACTTGGGCCATCTCGCCATCATAGGATAAGCCGTTTTCTTTCACCAGGTAGAGGTGTCTGTACCTGCCCCCAAACCTGTACTTTCCGTCGCCTCATCCCTCCCCACTTTATGATGGCTAGCTAGGCTAGTTGTAAATCTGAGGGATGGGTTCTACATGACACCGTCCCCATTTTGGCAGATCTTGGATTCCGAATGAGACGTCGGATATACAGATGTTCATTTTCTGGTTGAGTTTCGTAGCTAGGCCACAGTTACAGTAAGGCAGAAGCATCAAGCGACTGATCAGGCCTGATCCTTTTCCCTAATTCTTTTTCGTACCTTAATTTGCTTTGGGTTTGTCAAGGATTAGTCGAATGGTTTTTGCGCAACCATTAATTAACCGTTTTTTGTAGAACCGGGATCTCGTGCGGAGCATGACGATGACGTGTTAAAAATCACAAAACCTCACTTCAGGAGGCCTTCATTTAACCGACTTCGTTGTGACGAACTGCCGGTGAACATTCTGCTGTGTTTAAGGAAGACTCTCCTTCTCGACCTTTGGAACATTGGTAGTCCAGTTTTTGACTTTTCCTCCGCTACTCAAAGGTACTTTAGTGTCAGGTAGACTATCCTTTTCATTCCGCACATTCAGATCAGGATGGCCATCCTCGGCTTCCAATTGGTCACGACGCTGATAGGAGCTTGCATTTTGTCGAAGATTGTTACGTACTTCTCGTGCACACGCTTTGTCTTTGATGGATTGTCACGGTTCATGGCGCCATCCGATCAGCTACTCATTGAAGCCTCAGGAAACTTTAAAACAAGAAACAAAAGTAAGCAACTTTGCCACTATTCTCCCTCTTCCCCTTGCGTTTCTCGTTTTTTATGGACTGGGTGCATTGCTAGTGTCAACACTACTGAATGTCACTGGGGTATAGTTTGTAAACAAAATCGGCCGGTCGGTTTAAGATGATTCTTGTCTAAGTTGGAGCTACTCTAAGTTTTTGAATAGCCGCTGCTTGTTGATGGCCGGCACAATTTCCAGTCTGGAGATTTTTGCTCAACCTCATACTTTCAAATGTCACAAGAGCGTTGGTTTGTGATCACACGATTTTCAGTTTTTTCATACCTTCAAACCGTTTGTGAACCCAAAGAGTTAAATCGTGAGATGCCTTCCGGTTGCAGAAGCAAGGGAAAGCGAATTAAGGATCGGGGCACAACATATTTGAACTTGCATGTCAATATATCGACTTCTCAGGTTTGAAAGGGTTTGGAAGCCCAGGATAATTCTTACTTTTGAACCGTAAACTGTTGTATGTGCATACACTCTTGTACTATTAACTCCGAACCCCCAAGGTGTGTAAGCAAAGAAGTGGTTTTCCTTGCCAGTACGAAAACTGCAACTTGTTAAGAATTAGACAGTGATTCTAAGAAAAGTTTTTCAGTACTCTTTTGACACTCAACTTAGCAAGTGGATGTATCGTTTGACGACGTAGCATATTTTAGTGATCTTTTTTAATTGCAATAACCACACGCTGCATTTAGCGGTAAGCTTGTAATCGAGTTCCCTCTCTATGCTCAGTGTTTGATGCTGATACTATCTGTTCCATCCCACCCTCATTTTTCTAGGGCGGTGTCCCCTCACACTTGTCTTTTCATAGCTTTGTGGAAGTTATTCCACACAAGAGGGTGCTTTTTAACTTGTCGGTCAGATAGTCGTGTTGTGCATTTAGCAGCACCGCTTGTTCATGACTGGTCACTGTTATGTTCTCTACTAATCAGTCAATCAACCTTGCCAGTTACACGCGAAATTGAGAATACAAAAAGCCTTGAGGAAATTATACTACAGCAACTGAACAGCCACTGAAGTATCAAGCTCGAGATTCGAGGAATCAAGAACGGAATGGAACAAACAGTTCGATGAAAGGCTGAAATAGAGAGAGAAATGTTGAGTAATATGTTCGTTAGGAGGAGTGCCTCCTAACACCTCGCCTTTGAAGTCATTGTTCGTACAACTGGAGTTGTGGGTTCAGTTGCATTTGTATGACAGGCTTTCTGATCCGGTCGGTCCATCTTCTGGGTGTACAACTTTTGGAAATTTCTGGTTCATTCATCGGCTCTGGAGATTTTGGCTTTTGAGCTAACTCAAATGTGTCGAGAAGAGTCTCCAGTGGAAGAACAGGGTCGAGTGTAGGTACCGCTGGAAGATAGGAAGCGCGTAGCTGATTGGCATGACGGACCCAGATAGAGGAGCCTACATTTACCTCATAGACAACTCTTCCGGCCCGGCGCACAATTATGCCTTGTGTCCACTTTTCCGCGCCACCACGATAGTCTTTCGCTAGCACAGATTGGCCGGGTATAAATATGTTCTTTGCAGCACCGTGATGTCGGTTGAACTGAACTTCCATATTTATGTTTCTACCGGTTGGCGAATGTGGTGTTGGACGGATGACGTCAACGGGTAAGCGGACCTTCCGGTTCATAAGTACCTCCGCCGGGGACTTACCATGTGGAGCGTTAACATTTGGTGTCGCCCTGTAACTCAGCAGAAATGTCTCGATGATTTCCGGGGTGGTCCCCTCCCCTTTGAGTTTTTGGAGTGCGCGTTTGAAAGTGTCCACAAATCTTTCCACTTGGCCATTTGATTTTGGATGAAATGGTGGTGATCGCACGTGTTGTATGACATTTTCTTGACAGAAATCGGAAAATTTAGCGGAAGTGAATGCACTGCCGTTGTCGGAAACAATGATATTTGGAACTCCGAAGTGGCTAAACACATGTTGTAGTTTTGAAATGGTAGCCTCAGCAGTAATATGGTTCATGCTGAACACTTCTGGCCATTTGCTATAAGCATATACTAGGCTGAGATATTGTTGGCCGTTGATTGGTCACGCAAAATCAACATGAATCCGTGACCATGGAGTTTCTGGGACAGGCCATGAACATAATTCTGTTTTTCGAGGGGATTTCGCAGATAGTTGGCATTTGGAGCACTTGCGTACAAGTTCTTCTAACTGCTTATCCATGCTCGGCCAGTAGACATAACTACGTGTTAGCGCCTTCATGCGGTTAATACCGGGATGTCCAAAATGAAATTGTTTGAGGACATCACTCCGTAATTCCGGGGGCACAATTACTCGTTCCGCGAAGAGTAAACAACCATCAACGTCGGAAAGTGAGGATCGACGTTGGTAGAACGGTTGAAGTTGTTTATCGGAACATACTGCAGGTCATTGTGTGCGGTGAAAATGGAGTACATTTTGAAGTAACGGATCACAAGCAGTGGTGTCGCGAACCATAGCGGAAGTAACTGGGAGTGCACGGATTGTAGTATCAAGCACTGCGTTAACTTCTGGTTCCACCGTTATCGAGGCAAGAACAGCATCCTCGGGTTGTTGACTTTGAGAATCCATGAGTCTTGATAATGCATCAGCTTGGCCAATAGCATCAGTAGACTGGTACTTGATGAAGAAGTCAGCCCAAAAGCATTGTAGCCCAACGTTGCAAACGGTTGGCTGTGTAAACAGGGATGCCTTTCTTGGATCCGAAAACGGCGAGAATGAGAGTATAATTCCATTCTCGATTGGTCCTCATTCGCACCAATGGGTATGCCAATTAACGACACTTCAGATGTCAGTGCCTGTTTTGAATAGCCACAAGCGCGTTGCGCGGGCTGAGTGTGTTTTTCAGCAACCTGTGCGATGTGCTGGAGCCGTAGACGGTTAACTAATCAATACTAACTAATCAATAACAGGTGGCAAAAGGGCTGTCCGAATTCGCCTCAGGACAACAATCGCGGATAAGACAACCGCCGCTCACCAATAGCACTTTTCTTCCCCGTTCTGCTGGTTGGCCACACTCGCTAGGGTATCTGTGGGTGGAGTTGCTATTGAAAGTTGAAGCCATCGTACATGATAAAAAAACGCGTTTCCCTCTGGCAGCAAATACCGATTAAAGGAAGTTTGCCACATTCTGCGAGGTTTTTCACTTATTTAGGAGTATCAGATGATAAGATCTTTTGGTTCGCTAAAGCCCTTTCTTTCTGTAATTGTTGCATGTTAGGAGATCCCTTATTGCAGAGCTGACTACTCTCCGTTCGACGTGGATGTTCTTACGTTAACATCATGTACTTACCACTCATATACTCCGTGGCTCCACGTCAGTTCGTAAATTTTCGAATACTACATCTCCATGAGGACAGCAATCAGACTCCTTATTCTCTGAAAGATTCCCAATCTTTAGTGGCTTCGTAGTGCTGCTCAAGTTCACTGCAAGTTCTTCATATCCCAGTGGAGTATCTGGTACACCGTATTTTGATTTTGGTATCGTAGTACATGCGCTGAGGTAAAATTTTGGAAACCGGGACCGAGGCGTTTTAGAAACCCAATTTTCTCTGCTTGTGTTTCCTTTTGGTTTCAAATGGCAGCACTGTTTTCCGATATGCTGCTTCCCGTACAGAATACTTGCCCGTTGCCTAAAATAAATTGGATTGACTTGTGAGGTAGCAGGTTGAAGAATGTACTACCCAGCTACTTGGAACCAGTGACGTATCACTGTCACCATCAGAGTCGGAAATACCAGCATTCAGATTGATGAATTCCCGCTTCATTGTTGGCTTCTAAGCCTCATTTGCTATCTCCTCTGTCTGGAAATGAAATCGTCCAAAACCTGTTGCCCATCAGCACATTTCTACCGGTGAGTAGTATGTTATGCCGAGTTCGCCAACCACTTACGAGGAAACTGATGCGGTGAGGGACACTGTAGTCGATGGCGAACTTTGGTTCCATTATACATGGTTATTTCATGACCACCGACATAGAAGAAACTGCCAAAAGAGCATACACTGGTATGATCACAACCAAATGCATGCACGTGCGCTATGGGTGGTTGTCACCGGATGAATAATACATCTGTGCATGCCTCCACGAGGTTGCTCTTCAAGCAACTATAATGGAGCATCATGCACTGACGGGCGGATCGATGGGAAGAACGTTTGTCAATCGCGTTCCGACATCTTTACGTTTTTCATTTTTACAGGATTTCTTTACGGTGTAGTCCACTCTTTTCCATGTGATGAGGTAACAATAAAATTTGACGCACGGCAAACTGTCTACAAAGTCAAATGTCTCTCTGATTAGTGAATAGTTCAGGTGACACCTCCATTTAGCAGTTCTCCTCGTTCTGACACAGCCAGTGGCAATACATTGTTTCGGTCGGAGAAAACCACGAAGTTATAGTCAACGTTCAAAATGGTTGTATGAATGGGATTTTCTTCAAGAATGTTGACTGCTATCAAGATTAGAGACAATTGTCACGTTGGTTATCGATTCAGTGCATCGAACAGGGAGAAATCATGGTGTTTGGCTTTCCATATCACACGAATAAGCCGACTGACTACTTGTTTTCAAGCCTGCCGTACCTGAAGATGTCTAAAGTACCGCGCTTCACCCTGAGGCGTTTCCGCGCAAACGCAATGGACGGGTTACAAATGACCTATCACCAACGAATGAAATACAGTGATTTGCAGTAACCAGAGAGGGTTCACTGTAGATGCCTTCGGTGGCAAGATACGCTATTGGTGTGACGTTTGGAAGTAACATTGAGTCTTTTTACAGGAAAGTCACTGGTTATTCAGCCTTATTAAGAAGAAAGTAAATTACGGGAGCCTGCGCTGCTCTTCCACTGCTTTCCCCTGGTATCCTTATGCAACAGAGGTGGGGACGTCCTTCATAAAAGACAGCACATCTCTGCGACCTAACGGCCTTGTACAATGAGGGTTTGTATCTGTGAATATTCGATATTTTGCTCTTTGGGAGATACCTGCTTCACCATAACAACACAACAATTGCGTTTTGCCTGTCTTGGGTTGCTCCATTTGGGAAGCCATCCCCAAGATTCGTTGAACTTTGAAGTTCATAGGATTGATAAATCAAAATTGAAGGATGAAGACTGATGTATGTCTCGAAAGCATCTGTTCCACTGTCTGCCGGAGCGGTTTTGTGAGGACTCAAGACGGTGTAGTTAATGTCTCATGTTTTCTACCTAAATATTTTATCCATATCCGCTAATCTTTTTTGGCTGGTTTGTCTTCATCCAAGTTTCGAATTACCTACTTTGCTCAAAGGTTGAGAGGTTTAATAGAAGTTGGGGAGTTTTCAGCAACTTTCTGCGTAGTAAGTTATATAAAAAAAGTAGGGGAACTTTGTGAGGATTACACTCACCATAGGATTATTGGCTGCATGATGTTGGGACTTGGCCGTTTGCTTCGAGTGTATGGCGCCTGGCTGATGCATTAGATGTCCGCTTTCACCCCAACCCTCATGGAACCAGCGTCACGCGGGGGCAGTAAGTTGGGCATCTTGGACGACGAGTTATTCTGTTTCCCTAACGCCGAATGTTAGTGATAATTAAAGTGAATGTCAATTTGAAACAAGTATGGTTTGGAAAGTTCCTGCGTGATGTTTTCGTTTTTTTTATATTTTTACGTTGCTTCTACGGAGGAAGTACTCCATGTAGGAGGGAACTTACGAGGGCCCGATTATTTTCACTTGCTAAGGAAGCAAGCTCTCGAGATAGAAGAAAAGTTATATTCTGGTTCCCCGAGTGGAGGTACCGCAATGGAACCAACTTATTTGATCGATCCAGATTTATCAGTTTACGTCACTTCAAAGACTGAAAACTGTGTGAAGGACTGTTGAAAACCCTATGTTAGGAGTTTTCAACTTATCTTAACTAGACGTGGCCGGGGAGACCCGCACAGCCTTATTCGGCAGAACTTTTGACAGTTGAACTATCTGTTGAGAGTAGCCGGACTGAACAAAGAGACAGGAACGCATGGTAACACAATAAATATCCGGTCCTCAGTAAGTACGTCCTTATGATGAGTTATCATGATTGGTGGGCCTCACTTAAGTTGATCTATACCGAATTAAAGGCTAGTTCCTTGTGACTTAGATAAGGGAGTTAAAGACCATTATACGGGTTCACCTTCTTAGACCAGTGTGTCAATAGTCAACATGCAGGATTATTGGATGCTCACTGCAGCTTACTGCTCAGCTGGAGTGGTATATTGTTAGAAAAGCTGAAAAATGGAAGATTTCATTGCCCGGCACAGAAATCATGCGATACGGTTCTTTCTGATTGCCGTTCCACCGCGTCATCAAAAAAACAACCTCTGGAAGGTGTTTCCACCGAGTTGAGAGAGTGTTTTACTGCAAGCATGGTTGTGCTCGGTGGTTTTATGGATTCAATTTCGGTCGCTACCTCGTTCACAGGATCTCTTAGACGCCACGGTTTTCCACAGTCTCCAGACTCGATTGCAACGTGGTAAGAAACTCCACGCATGCTTCACCTTAACACATGTTTTCACTGTTTTCATTATCCTTCTAGATAAGAAACGCCGCACAGATGCAACCAATGGTTCAAATAGTAATACGTCTTCCCAAGACAGATTCTTTTTTCCAAGGGCTTCACCAATCCAGCTGCAGTCATCGGTTATTACGAATGCCGACGCTTCGGTATTACCACTATACTCCAGTTTTCAGTGGCTGTTGGACTTCACTGTATGCACTTTTGGTATATATCTCGTCACTGAATTAGCCAACAGTTCGCTGCTTTCTTCACACAATTGGGCAGCCATCTCTCCTTCGAGGTCTTCAACGTCTAATTCATTTTCCCTAAGTACAAGATTGAATTTAAGTCTGGTCTGGTTGGCTCTAGTCGTCTGGTTTACGCTACGCGTGTTGGTGTCAATGACTGCCATATACTTCAGCACACGTACTCCAGAATTCCACAAATCCGAGTCTCGGCCTTCGATCAGCAGTACGGCTCCGGGTGCGAATTCCGGTGAGTGGTTCCTGGTTATTGTTACAGGATTCTGTTTCCTCATATTGACTGGATTTTTTATGGCACTGGATGGTCGGTACTTCGAGTTCGAACTTCATCCTGCGTACGCCAATCTCACAATGAATACGACAGTTTCACCTGGCGTACCTTTGATTAGCTGGGGTGCGTTCAATGCTATATTGGCATTCACCTGCGCATCGATCGGAGCGCTTTTTGTTTACCCAGGAATGAAGTTTGGAAGGACCTACTTGGATGCTGTCTCGTAAGTATCCTGGTTTCATCACTCTTGTATAGTAATTCTGATTTATCTAGAACACGCTCGTAGAAGTGATTCTCATTGCTCTTGTCATTACTAAGAGAATTTAATAATGCAGTTGTGGACAATACAATGAAAAGAATAAAACACTGAGAAGTATTTAATCGATTACTGGCGGCAACCATCTGAAAATACGAACAGGAATTAAGAGATTGTGCTACCTATGCTCGGTGTATCGTTTCGTCTTATCAAGTACATGCTTGGAGAGCATAAGAACGATGCGTGTAAATACTGCAGGGGCTTAACACATCAATCCATTCGGATGCATTCCTGACCTATTCTGAGAATGGTCTCAGTAAGTTCCGGCGCATGCCTGCTAGACCACTCCATGGTCAGAGCAGTTGGTCCAGTGTGTCAACTTTATGTTGTGCGATGTTGTCCTCCACACCAAGACCTGGAAACATCATCTTTCCAACTGTCACCCAGAATGGACTATGTTCGGGTGAGATACAACTTATGCGGTGGCTACAGCGGAAGTCCTGTCTGTAGTGGACACAAATCTGAAGAACATTTATGTGTACTTTTAGTTTGTTTTACTCCAATATGTTATCTATAAAGTCCGCTCGAACGAAACATCCGTTCCTGTCAACAGGATAACCTATGACACCCTGTACGGGACCTAAACGGCTCACGTCGAGTATGAACAAAAATCGTCCAGCTGTATAACTTAACTGCCACTGGGATACTGCCAGGTTGTCCAAGCCTAGACAGGGTAAGTTGAGGCAGAGGTCGGGTTCGAACCCCGGACCTTCCGACCAGTAAATTCGCGCTGTAACCACTGAGGTATCTCGCTCCAACGAACAGTTTCGGAACAGCGATATTTTTGGCCTTCTCTTGGGTGTGGTCCTCAGTGTAACCAGCTGTCGACTAATTTACCTAATCTGACTGGTATTTAATAGTTGAGTTGTCGTAACGTAACTAGCCGAACACCCGATAACTGACGACTACTCACACAAGGCCGACGATCCTTTCCGGGACTCACCAGGTTGGTCCAGATTGAAGGGTCATTAAATTTTTTGATTACTGGTTTCGGGCTGTTACATTCTAGCCAGGGCGCTTGCCGACGTATGTGGCGAGCAGGTGCACTCGACTAGAGCGTGAGTCCCAATGTAAACGGAAGGCTTCTGTGCTTGGTCTGTTCTTGAGCTGACCGGATTTCTGTTATGGATCGAACCCGGGTTCTAAATTACTATTCCACGACGTTTTTTACTGTACCACTCGGATTCCTTGCTTTGGGTGGGGTTTTAATTTGAGCAAGCATCCATCTTGATGTCCTTCGGTAGAATGTGCAGCAGGTGACCTGGTTGCAAATTTATCCGGTAAGTTGTTTCATTCGATTTAGGCACTCGTTTGACAATGTTCATGACTTTCGGTCATCTATGTATATAATTGCCGAAAGCAAGAGATCACACATGAAGTGTACAAAGGATACCCTTCGTTCTGTGGACTCTGTTTTCATTGACAACATGCCACCATTGGAGGCTGGTATAAATATAGGGGAACATTTTAATTTACCTTACAGAGGGATTTCCGAAGTTTCAAAATTACATACAGCTCTAGGGTCATCGACGCTGCTAGCACAAGGCACCGGTAGAGGAAGTGGTTGTGATCGTGATGTCTGTCTGGCATTAATTGTCTGGGATGTATGTCATACGTTCAAGTCAGTTGTGTCCGCACTACCGTTAGAAAATTCTGCATACCACCACACTTTGACGGAGCCGAACGCCTGTTTCTTGTAGGGTGTTCAACTGAATGGGAAAGAAGACTTGGCATGTGGCAGTTTTGTACTCGCAGGACAGTCCAATCAACGCAGAATCAGTTACAAATATTCAACAGTCAACATAGTTATATATATATCTGTTTTAACATTGACATATCTGGTCAAACAAACTTCACATAGTGGGTTCCGTGATCGTCCTGACTTGCATGACACCTCAACTTTACCTGGAACGTGATACGTATTCGATTCTGTAATCGTGAACTGCCTTTAGGCGACATTCACTGTTTCACTATGAGATTGGTGAAAACTCATCATAATCATCATCATGGGCAGCGTGCCACCAGCATCCAAAACTGTTGCTTCCCTGCCGTACAACCACGATTTATTTGAAAGCCTCATTGTGCAGAAAAGAATAAAGGTGAACGGGAAAGAGACTTAGTGCTAGCTTACTACAATCATCTCAAGTTGCATACATCTCGAAACACCCGTTTAAGCAATCTGGATAGAAATTGACAAGAAAGCCACTGACATCGATTAGCAGCCATATCTTTCAGCGCTTCCAACCAGGCGCAGTGGGGATCACGCAGCCCCTATCCTGGGAGGCGCGTAGAACCGACAGCACTCAAACGTTTTGTAATCTCTTTCATACTCCTCTGGTTAATGGTTGGCCACCCCTCTCCTATTCCTCCACTCTTTATTGGGCACGAAAAGCAGGATTCTCTTCGGCAAACCATGGTTTGGCATGCGCAGTACATAGCAAACGCAACCCGCGCCTTGCGGATTCGTGCATTGACCTCACCTGGCACACTGCAATCGTAATTAATACAACGTCCAATGTACGTGAAACGCTCCACAACTTCGAGTGTCTCCCCTGGATTGTAAGTGGCGTGTTCAGTGACTGCGTGTCCATGAGGATGACCTTACACTTTGTGGGTGCAAAGTGCATACCAAAACAGGGGGATTACTCTGGTCACTTCATTGAAAAACACCTATGCCTTCTCCTCTTGGAAGACGAGAACGGTATCATCTGTATATTCCAGGTCGACAAGGTTTTCGTCACATCATCATCATTACCAGCCCTCGCTTTTCAGCTGCTCTTGTCTAGACTTGGGTGTCGTTGTAGTAGCTGAGCCCCCAGGTTTCATTTGGTTGATATAGCAGCTAGGAGCTGACAGGGTGCTATGGCTTAACCATTTATCTGCATTTCATCTGCTTATTTCAGATCGACAAGGTCTTCGTCACAGGCTATTTGAAGAGCTTCCTGTGTTCGTCTTATTATTTCATCACAAAATTAAGTTGGAATGGAGGAATCGGGCACCCGCGATAGACAGCACTTTGTGTATGGAAGCTTTTGGAGAGCTATTGGTGTACTCCCACACGTCCAGAAGTTCTAGAATACAAAGAATCTTTTGCGTTCACGTACTTCTGAGGAATTCCTTGGGGGCATGCGTGTCAAGTAGGGCAGACCGGTCAACCGAGTCGAATGCGCCTTGAAAATCCAAGAACACTAGAATTGTTGGTCGCTCACGCGAATAACATTGCTCTAGCACCCAACTAAATGTAAAGATTTGGTCATCGCAACCCCTACCATGTCAGAATCCCGCTTGATGCTCCCCAGTCAGCGTTTCGCGAGCCACCGTAAGGTGAAGAAGCATCAGTGACGCCAACAGTCTCGTTACGACCAGGGTCAGGCCGTAGTTACCGCACTCACCACGAGCCCCTGTTTTGAAAATGAGCACCATCACGGACAATCCCCAGTTGTCTGGGACAGTCTTCTTTTCCCAAACGCAGAAAAACAAACCAAACATGCTCTTACTGAGGATTCATCCCTATCTTTGAACAATGCGGGTGGGAGGTCATCCAGACCGGAAACTCTGTGGCGCTTGATACCTCCAAGCCGTAGGTTGTTCCACTTTCACCGTCGAGGGTTCTACGTCAACTGTGGACTCCAAATGAGTGAAAATCTGTGGCTACAAGTGTTGGGCGAAGTATTCAGCGCACCCGTCGAAGTATTATTCTTTATTCAAAATTGTCACCCCTTTCCGAAACTTGGTGTGTTTGCTCACAGCTGGTTTCCGGGAATCACCTCCGCAGATCAACTGAAATAAGCTTCAAACATTCCCAGCTTTCTGGGTCTATTCCATTTCCTTGAATTTCTGTGTCCACTACACTTCACGGTCGGTGCGCACTTTTACTTAACGTCTTCTAGTTCGTAGTGTCAAGTTATGTTCCGGACCGGATAGGATATTTCTCCGAGATTTAGAGAGTGCCACTGTTCGGTCTGATATCCAATGTTAGAGTGAGCCTGGTTGCGCCGTGCCACAAGCAATCCCCAGCACTGTGTTAGAGGTGGCGACCTCGTCTCAGTGTGAATTCACACCTGGTGGTGGAACATTTGGAAGAGACTCTAGAACGCGATTCTGATAAATTCGTCTTAATCTTCATCTGCTAATTTTTCAGTTGCCAGGCGATTTTTCCGCAACCTACGGGGTCCTGGAAAACGGAGGGAGAAGCGACTCTGGACAAGTACGTGGTCAGAATAGCAAATATGTTCCGAAACGACCGGAAGCCATCCATTGATCCACGCCATGGGTAACCGATGGCAAGCGATTGATTGGAAGACACCAGATGGCCAGGCAATGTTGGAAGTTAATACTGCATTAAAGCAACCTGGGGTCAGCTCACAGCTGAAGCATTCATTCACAGTTGTCCGTACGTGGCCGCAACAGACATTCAGGGCCTCATAAAACTTGTCTTTGATGGTTTCAGAGCCACAATCAGTTGGGGCGTAATCCGATACGACAAACACATCAATCAACTTCCCCCTTTTAAGACTGCTTCACAAATGTCGCAGAGGCCGCTGTTAAAGTGTATCCAGTTAAGTAAGGATCCTTCCGTGCGGTGATTTGGGACGACACTAGCCCCTGCACGTCCTGCCGCAGCGGCCTCTAGATCGCCAGAGTTGCTCAGCCGGAAGCCAGTGGAGAGTGACGAAGCGGTCGGCTCACTCACTGCGCTTGCATCTTGAATTTTCGTTTCTGAGAAAGCACACATCAATGTCGAGTGATTCCAGTCTGAGAGCGAGAGCAGCTTGTTGAACTGCGTGCTTCAGGGTGTGGACATTGAAGTGGGCCAGAGAGACTGGGCGTCAGACTTGAATATTGATTTCGAGATGCCTGGGGATGTTGGCTTCGGATGAGGCGCAGATGTTGCTTGCAAAATCGGGACTGGATTAACGGAGTCATCAGTCCCAAGGGCTGAACGTACAAGAAATGAGTCATTAATGGGGTGGGGAGAGAGGGAAGAAAAAGTATGTGAGGGAGAAAAAAATGGAGGCGTCGGCAGTAGCCTGTTTTTGCTTGCCCGCCCTGCTGTATGCAGCGAGTAAGACGACCTGGTTGATGACGCCGCGCGACGGCCGATATGGCATGAGTTTATTCGAGAGGAGGATGATTAGGGTCCTCAATCAAAGTCTTTGGTTGAAATCCCTGACCGCGAGGCAGTGGTTTTTGGTGTGAAATGCAAGATTGTTTCCAGCAATCGTTGGTCCACGTCGAGTTACGCGCAGAACCCCAAAAGCTGAATTGTTTATCTACAAATGAGGTACTGTAAATACAATAATAAAATAATAAAACTTTACAAACCTCAAATCGTGGGACTAGGCTAGCTTCTATACACCGGTTTAAGAACTGCTACATCCTAACGGGTCGTAAATTCCACACCACTCAAAATTACAAGATAGGGAAACCACGTGTGAACGTAAGCAACACTTCCGATGACAAGGTCAAAGAACGGTTTATGTTCAGGTCAAAACAAGAAAGGTGGTTTAGGCGCAAAACCGAAATAACAAAAAAGGGAATCACGTTGTACAGCATAAAAATAGAAGAAAGGAATCAACAGCAAGTACATTGTCATTTTTACGGAACACGTCGCCACACATGTTCGAATCTGGAGGACCAGGGGACTCTGTTCGTCAAACCTCTAACCATTGATCAACCTGTTGTAAGAGACTCCGTGAGTGTCGCACGGATACCCCCCAACGTAGCTCAATGGGTTGCCGAGGTACACAAGCCGTCACACCGTGGTAAGGTCCAGTGTCTCCTTGGCAGAGATAAAAACCCACTGACCTCACTATCTGGGGCTCCTCGGGTAGGTGGAGATTTCGAGTTTTAATTATTCCATCATCTCACCTGAACATTTCGGTCAAAGAACTGGTTTGTATAATTAGCTATTCCTATCGGAAAACTCCAGCGTACTGCGGTTGAATTTAACTCAGCTGAATATGGTGCGTAAACGCCGCCTCATAGTTCATCTGGGTCCATATGAGAGGTCACCTGAGAAGACCAATTGTACATGCAAATTGGTTATTTGTATGGCACATTCACTCGTGTTTTACAGGCTTTTGCTTGCTCTACTTTAATGAGAGTAGATCTTTTAGTGGCATAATAATGTGAGTTCCACCTATTCTGTAAACGAAGGCATTTTGTTAACTGTTACCTATGACTTCAAAGCTATAGGTAATCGTCGGTGTTGTGTGACACGCTCATCTTGCATATCGGATGTTCGGGGTTCTGGTTTCAACACGACCACCGTGGATAAACTCTAATACGGGAGAAACGAGTCTGTTTTTTTTCATTTCTGATGTAGCGTTACCAAAAGAATCGCACTAGAGTAGGATAAGAACTGTTCGAGCGAGTTATGTGAATAGAAAAAAAGAATCGCACTAGAGTAGGATAAGAACTGTTCGAGCGAGTTATGTGAATAGAAAAATCCGCGAAATCGTTGACAGCTTCCGATTGTCCTGCTGTTGATGTTCAGAACAGCGCTTCATTTTCCTCCACAAGTGGTTAACCGACGAACGTCTTATCCTCTCTGTAGATAGATTTTACCGCTTCCTCATGTGATGGTGTCTGGTTTTCTGCTTCTCCACTACCAGAGTAAAATCGTACCTTTTTTGTCCTGTTTAGTCCTTTACTATTTTAACTTCTGCTATTTCAAGGTAACTTGCAAATCATCATGTGTTTGGTGACTTTTCGGTGTACATGTGCGCCCACACCTCAATTGCTAACCACGCTTTCGACTGCTTTGTTCCTTATCACAGCAAAGGTCAAACTTCTGTCTACCAGCGACTTTTGTTCCATTTGACTTTCATCATGCCGCTGTTCTCCCTCTTGCTCTGGATCAAACCCATCACGGATCATTTGCTCCGTTCGCTAACCACACTCAGCTTCAGTCACATCGTTATGCAACAGCCCTCTTTGTTGGCTCTGATCACGGTATCAATGGAACTTTTGAGCACACAAATCGGCACACTTCGTCTTCTCAGTTGTTTATTTGTTGTGCTTCTCCGAATTTCACTCACTCGTTTAAATCTTCAGGTATGATTTTTCCTTTCGTTAGGTGGATTACCTCTTATTTGCAAACAACCCGTCTATCCCAATTCGACCTAAAAATCATCAAACAGTTGAACATGAGCCACACTTCTGTTAAGTTACTGTGGACTGATTAGCGGTCCCTTCGGTAGGAGATTTGGTTGGAGCAGCTAAGTATATACCCCTTACTGTTTGTCGTCCTCACAGATGATGTGATGAGCACCAAGCAACTTGACGTAACTTGACGCAACTTGACGTCAGTTTGTCCTGAAAAGCAATGCAGCATGCGCCTCGTCTTGGCTGGGTTTCATCCGGTTTGAGTACCACGATCGATCGGAAACGGGTTGGCAGTTTTTCGTGCCAGAGACTCTAATCGTGATTGGTTAATTAGTTATTCCCAGCTCTTTATAAACATCTTGGTAGAGATTACGTTTGACTGAATTCTGCACTGATAACGCCTTACCGCTTGCAGTTGGGCGCTACTACGTCCAACAAGCCTATCATGCACGCGATTAGCCAGAAGATCGCGCCGCTTCCCTGTCCAGCATCAAGGCGAGCTCTGATTGGTCGGAAGTCTGGACCCAACGTCCAATCATGATCCAATATCTGCGGAAAGCCGCTTGTCAGTTGCGGGTTCAGAAGGCATCATAATTTCCAGTATGTTTTCTCCGCATAATTTTTATGGGCAATCCGCCGTACATTTGTTTTCGACCTGGTTTTTGGGCGTCGATAAACATGCACCTATGGCGGTTGTTTCGGCGGGAACGCTAACTTGGAAGATTCAGACCTAGAACTGATCTGAGATGACAGATGACAGACACCAAAACTCTGAGACTTTGATTTGCAAGGTACGACCGCTTCTTGCCTCTACAATGACGCTACTTTAACCGTGATGATGCTGCCTCGCTCCTCAGGTGGGAACTCGCGCAAATTGGTATTGGTTTCGGTACTCCTTCTGTTCACTGAACTATCCCGTTGTAGGGTCACACAGGATGGGTACAATCCCATATAGGTTCACTGAGTCACGTGTGGAACCATTTCAGTGACTAGAAGACGAACAGTAGGGAACAGTTTTAAATCTAGTGGCAGGCTCAAGTGATGACGCATAATTGTTAGATCAGGTGAAGACCGCTCACCAGCTAATTGCTATGGTATACTTGCAGCGCAAACTGGTAGCCCTTCATCACTTATAAAACACACCTAGGACAGCCTCATAGGGCTAACTAGGGTGTTAGTTATTGTAATCCAATGAGTGTAAACCGTACCTAGCTCGGTGAACTTAGTCGCTGGTTCCTAATTGATACATCATCATCATCATTATCAGCTG